CAATATGGGTACACTGATTATTTTCACAGGTTTTGTGTAGCTTCATGTTCTTCTTTTTACACAGGCGCTCATGAAACTTGAACTTTCGAGAAATCTCATTGGAGACTCAGGTGCACAGACGCTTGCTGATGGATTACGAAATAATAAGGTGATCCATTTTTTCTCGTTTATTGCTACGAAAATTTAGTTACACAGTCTTACATAGACACTCACCGAACTAGATGTCAGCAACAATCGAATTGGCGACTTTGGGGCGAAAAATATGTCAAATATGTTACAGAACAAGACGGTGACTCTCGCTTTTTTCTTGATCACTTCATCTGTTTATTTGCATTTATTTTTGAGATAGACAATTCTCGCATTGGATGTCTCGAGGAATGAGATCGGAGATTATGGAGCAGAGTGTATAGGTGCTATGTTGGAAAATAACACGGTGATTATCTTTAAATTTTCGTGTTTATCCTATTCTGACTTGCTCTGTTTTATCTAGACAATAAAGCGGCTATATCTTGGTGATAATCGCATCGAAGACTTGGGAGGAGAATATCTGATTGATGGATTACGAAACAATAAGGCAAGATTCATCGTTTCTTTTATTTTCTGACAGTTATTCATTTTCACTTTTCATTTAGACAATCGTAAGATTAATGCTGGATGCGTATAAATTAAGAGACAATTTAAAAAATGTTGTCGAGCAAATAATTCATCGTAATGAACGAATGGATGCATTGACATGCACTGCAGATGGATAGCCAAACAGTTTAGTTATTGTTCGAATTTTGTCCATTCTCGAATTTTTCACATTTTTCTAACGCAAAAACAAGTTGTTCAAGTGAAATGCTGCATATGTAGCCTACAGAAAAGTGAAGGATGCATGGTCTCTTACAGTTTCGTTCCTTGATGATTCATTCATACGCGATTATCATTGTCATGATATTCAAATCAGTTAATCACAGCTATCTGTTCCATGAAAGAAGGCGAGTAGTGTGGGTGAAGATGTGGGTGAGAGTTTGGGTGGAAATATCTACATGTGAGTATTCTCTTCAATTGCTCCTCGGTACCAGAGAACATCACAGGACGCAGGATCTGCAAGACCGTCAATTATCGATGTAGTGAACAATGTAACCAAACAACCAACTAAAGATATTGTAATGCAAAGTGTATTCCAAGAGGATGTGGGTGTGAGTATATGTATAGACTCTTAGAATAGTCACACCCACACCCACACTCTCAAGATGATTTACATTTAAACGTTTTTTCTCGCAAGTAATCAATTTCTGTCAAGTTCCTAGGCTAAAAATGGTTATGAATAAAGCCATACAATGTATAAAAATAGCCCGAAAATGTGCTCTGTAAATAAAGTCCAAAAGAGTGTCTAATTTAATTCGTTAATGAAGTGGTTTGATCTTCTCGGCAACAATCTTCTCCGAATAGTCCCACCATTCGCGAGCTCGTTCGGGATTTTCTGCATGCGGATTATCAACTTTAGTGTCTCGACAATCAGAATGATATCTTCCTGGTAC